TAGGTGTATGAGAGTGAAAGAATGTAGAAATAGTCCTGTAAGATATTATTTTTTCCTTGAAGGCATATTTGGGTAGTTGCTAGAGTTAGAAAAACATCTGATCCTTTTGCAGATATTTTAATCAAAACAGAAGACAGAAGTTCTTACTTCAAAATTTTATTTTTGCTACACCAATGCATGATATTTACTGAGGGTCAACTTTGCCAGTATTTTAAAAAGTATTGAAGTGGTTAGGGTACTGTGCATGACTATTTTGAAGACAAAAGCTATTTCATCTGCAGAGCTTTGTATCAGTCTGTTTTATCAGGATGCATGTCCCGCAGGTAGACTTATATGTAGAAGCTAACATAAAACGTGGTGGTGTTTTGGGTTTGGAAGCACTGCATTGTTTTGGGGTGGGGTTGGGGGGTGTTAGATCTATTAATTTTGTTAGTATCAGTTCCAATTAAATTATTCAGTGTGGCAATTTTTTTTTTAAGATACATTCAAATCCTATCTGATTTCTACTCCTTGGAGACTGAAGGACAACACAAAATTAAGAGAATTATGCTACTCACATGAGTCACGTAAATTGGCAGAGAATTATAATATTAGAGATGAACCTGGCTGTTGTACCTAGGGACTCTTTTGACCAATTCCTGACCCTCAGAAGTGTTTATTGCCCTTAAGAAACTGTTCTGTCTGTGACTACGTGATTCCGTCAGATCTAACCATTGCAGGCACCCTCGCCAGGGCTTACAACTGTCAATGTGCTCCCTTTTCTCTTCAGGATTTTTGCACTCTCTGCCATAGTAGGAATGACAACTTTTCCTAAATCAGTGCAGCATATTCTTGGTGTTTATGATACAATTACTACATTGTGCAGATTTCTCCGTAGTTAACAAGGCTGATGTTAATTCACGATGCACAAATTTGATTGAAACTACCTTTTAAAGTAGTCAGGATGCTTCTATTTCTCTCCTTTATTCTCTCATTTTGCTATTTACCCTGCATATGTCTCCTGTGCGTTTTTTCATTGGTGGTAGTAGTGCCTGCTGCGAACCCCACTCCTCTCTTTCATTGTGACAAATTTCAGCTTGTAGAAGAAAATTCCGTCAGAATGGAAAAAAAGCATCACAGTACTCCCCACCTTAAAATAACACAATGATGGGAGTGATAAAAATACTGTGAGAAAATAAAGATAGTTAAACATCTATCAAAGCAAGCCAAACTCAGCAAACAACAAAGCTCTTTAAAAATGTATGATGCTTACATTTAAGAAAGCAAACAAAACTGAATAAATTAGCTAGGTAATGTTATACCATAATTTCTAAGTACAGCCTTACTCCCTCCCCTTTCATCCTTTCTTTAGGGACAAGAGCTGGTTTGTTTTATGATTTTTCTCATGCATGTAATATGTTGTGGGTACTACTGAAGTCTAAACTTTATAGATGTAATTACAAAAATTAATCTTACAGATAGGAAAAATAAGCTCACTACATTTTCCAGACTATTTTGCAATTATTTTTAATGAAAATAGTATTTGATGTTTGTCTCCAGGAAAGAGATAATTGAAGTATCATGCTTGGGAGATGCTTGTGTTTTCAGCTGAAGGAGCAAGGCTGAAGCTTTAATAATAAGAAATGTTATAAACCAGGGTGTCTAGTGTGGGTGCCTTGATTCCAAAAACTTTTCTCTGGAGGCTCTCTGCTGAGATTAGGTATTAGGATGAGTCATGGAGGCAAACAGTTGCAAAAATGGCAATAAATCATTCAGGAAATAGTGTTTTGAAGTGGATTTAGAATTGGATCTGAAGCTGGTGTAGAACGTGAAGCAACAATGATCCTATTTGTCTCTTTACCTAAGTGGATGTTAAGTATGTATTTTAAACTACTGGTAGTTTCCATATGGACTTTGGAATTTGTTCCATATTTGAGATACTTTGCTAAGATAGCATGAAGAGTTAGTAAGGAATAGCTTATTTGAGAGAACATAAGAATGGCTGTACTTCCACAGATGAAGTATCTATCTAGCCAAGCATCCCCTTGCTATGGCTACGCCTGGTAGCGCGTGCCTAGGAAGTAGTGGGACTCTTTGTTTGTGCCTTTCATCAAAAATTTGGTGAAAACTTTCAAATCTTCAGCAGTTTGTGGCTGAAGAAATTCCTGAGACAGAGGTGTGATGTCTTTTCATCGAAGAACTATCAATTTTTTTTTCGTCTTAACTTCACCAGTGGCTTTCTGAACCCATGCAAGCTTTTAGCATCAATCGTATACGTCCACAGCTGTATCTTAGGAGAAAGGTATCTGAACCACACACAAAGCAGGTACCCATTTTGTCTCTTGCTGTCTAGATGTGTCCTTGCAGGTAAGACCAACCAGAAGTCCAGTTAAAATCCTGTAGTGGTTGTTCATGCCTGCCTTTCTGCCACGTCTGTACCTCATGCAGTCAGTGGCTTCTTGTTTATTCCCTCCACCCACCTTTATTATTTAGTGGTTAGCTTAATATTTCATCGATACAGACTCCATTATGATCTTTCATTACTATGTAACTTGCTCCTCTTTAACAGATTGCTCGTGTTTGAAGTCCTAGATAATATTTCAAGACCATACTGAAGTAGTTATCTATAACTTTGAGAAACGTTATCCCTTATGTATAAACTGCCAATGACACGTCAGCTGTGTTCTGCCTACCTAGGAAGCAAGCAAACTTCAGTAATCAAACCAGAAAGCATCCTTTTCCCTCCTTCAACACTTCCTTGATAACTCAGTCAAGAAATTAAGCAGAAAGGGTCTCTTGAACGTGAATTCCTGAGGAAGAACGAAATAGTAATGTTCTAGCAATGTGAAAATAAGAAGTCAAAATGAGTGGGATGAACCTTGTTTCATACGTTGGGTTTTTTCATTTGTGTACCAGATAAGCTATCAAAACAAGACTTTTTTTTTTTCTTCCCCTTTTTTTAAACTTTGCGTACAGTGTCTGAATGCTGATATCACACATGAGTTTTTACAGGATATATGTTAAATAGACTCCTTGTCTCAGGGAATTTGTTGTATAATGAAACTGGCACAACATGAATGTCTTCAACTCAACTACAGGAAGTAAAGGAAAAGTAAGTATTATAAAGATTTGGCTGTAACAGAGGAAATACACGCTTTTCTCTCTCTGTTCTTCAAAAAGACAATCTACTTCTATTATTTCCTTACTACTTTGTTGCTGGTATTCAGGACTAAAAAGAAAATCTCATGTGTTAGTATTAAACTGATATGGACAGTAAGCAGCCTGTGATACGAAGAATATTTAACATGCTTAACATTTGATCTGACTGCATGTCCAAACTGTACTCTAAGATGGTGTAGATAAGATACCTTTTATTCTAAGGCTACCGAAGGTTAAAAGCTACTGAAAGCTCTGTCCCATGAGGAATCAATCCCTGACAGGAATTCCTGTTTACACTAAGAGTAGAAGGAATTGTTGAAACTTTTTTTTTTCCTTGTAACTGGCAACTGCTTACATTCTCAAATCTCAGTGCTCAAGGTTGTTGTGCGAGAAATATTGGTAGCTAGTATTTGCTTGCCTGCATTTCATGTTAAAGACAATAAAGGTCTGAATTTATATAATTTTTAGCCCAAGAGTGCTGGATACACATGCAGCCTTGCTGGAAGGTAGTTGGGCCACAGAACACTACAATTTCAAGTCATGCTATTTTTCCCAAGTGCTTTATTTAGCTTAGGTTTCCGCCTTTTAAAGTCTTCACAGAGGCATGCACGATTTTATTCCTTAGTAGAACAAAAAGCATCTTCTGTGTGCGATAGGAAGATGTTCACAGTGGGAGTTTACATTGATTCCTAATTAATGAAACAGAAGGGAGATAATTTTGTTGTGTTGTGGTTACAGTGAAGTTCTGTAAGGTGTTGGACATGTACTTTTTGTTTCTTATCTCAAATTCCTGTTTTATAATCAGAAAATACAATATACACGTATCAAATTACACTGAATGTCAGTTCAACAGCTACTATTTGAAAATAATTTTAACCTCATTAACATACAGAAAAACTATGCTTAAAAGAATTGCCATCAATGAATCTTCTGAGATCATTACAACAGGTTTGAACAAGAACAACTGTACAGCAGTACTAAATGTAACTTCAAAGAATCGTTAATTCTGTTGACTTCAGGAATCTGTATTTTATTCTAAGTGTGGAAACTTGGTCAGAGAGAATTAAAAAAGAACTACATGAGCTATCCCTAATTCACGTAGATACTTCTGAGTTACTGTAGTCACGGTTCAACTCTTTCTGTAACCATCTTATATGTTTTTCTTACCAAACACAAGAAATTCAGCATATTTCTGCATCACTTCAACTATTTTAACTAGTTTCAACTAATTTTGTTAGGGCTTTCTCCTTCTGCCTGAGAAACTGTCTGTTTTGTGTGACATTACAAATCAATTTGATCGCTTAAAAATCTAGGAAAAAACCCCAATGGTTCTAAACTAGGAGTACAGGTATTTTCCTGACACTGAAGTAACAGTTTTCCATTTTATGTATGCTGTACCACTTTGGAAAACAGTGTATTCTGAGTGCTAATGATGGTACTGATGGCAACTGTTCTTGTGGCCTGTAAAGTAGTTGGAACTAAATTTTTTTGTTTCAACTAAATTAGTATCAACTAAATTTTTATTCTGGAAGCTTTGAATGTCTAATGATATTTAGAATCAACATCAGATGTTGCTCTTAACAAAGTCTTTCTAAATCATTGGCTTGTAGCCTGGTATTATTTCTGCCTACTGATAACTTTTCGTTGTAGTAATTTAGAAGACTGGCAAGAATGTATGTATGTTTGTTACATGCTCTGAAAATGTGACATGTTGTATGAACACTTATAACAGCACTGTGCAAGTACTTGCATGACATAGCTATAATGTGAAAATATTTTTTCAAATGGATTAATAGATGTTCTGGTGTGGATTATTCTGTCTCTCTCTTACCAATAATTCCTTTTAATTACTTTTTTTCCAGATAATGGAGGACAGACTTTGGCAGGTGGGAATAACTGGCCGTTGAGAGGAAGAAAATGGACCCTCTGGGAAGGAGGAGTGAGAGGAGTAGGCTTTGTCGCAAGTCCTTTGCTGAAACAAAAAGGTGTAGAAAGTCATGAACTCATCCATATCTCTGACTGGCTGCCAACACTGGTGCACCTTGCTGGAGGACATACCAATGGCACTAAGCCTTTGGATGGCTTTGATGTTTGGAAAGCTATCAGGTAACTTGCATGTCAAATCACCGAGTCATCATTCTGGTATGAGAAGAATTTAATCAGCTCCCCCCCCCAACAGAGCTGGAAATTTGCCAGGGGGTGGGGTGGAGTGGAGGGAGTGGGTGGATATTACGTGTTCCTTTCCCTAAATAAGGGGAAGGTATAAGTGCCGTTAGCGTTGCTATCCATGTGAGAATTATCCAGGTTGCAAATTTAATCCTAGTCACAGATGTAAAACCTCCATGCAGCTTTAACTTTGTATGTTGGATTTATCAGTGTGGATACAACAATGCACAAACATGGTATACTTTTTCAAGATGGTGTACTCTGTGGTCGAGAAGTACGTTAACTGATTTTGCACAGCATGGAGTACAAGTTAGTAAATTTTATGGACCCAGACCTGTTCTCTACAGAGCTCAGTTAAGTATGTCTGCAGTATGCATCTGGAATTGGACATGTGGGAAATCTATGCAGACATTAAACTCACTGAGCATGAATTCCACTGTGATGGTTTGTTAGCTCAGTACAGGAGCTGTCAGGCTGGCCAAAGTATAACTGTTTGAATAGGTCTGTATCATGCTGTCCAGTGTCTCAAAAAGCCTGTGAGGCTCAGTTCAAAAATAGACCTGACTTGGTTCCTGAGAGGGTATGATGTGCCTGATTTAAGCAAGCTGAAGCGCTCAGGAGCATGGTGCAGGCACGCTTAGATGGCTAGAAAAAAGAGGCAGCTTAGCTCCAGTTGGGTTGGCACTGAAACCAAGCTAATGACTTTTACTGAGCTCTCTCTGAATCTGTGCATCTCTCATCCTGTCTGGATTAACTTGGATGTCACAAACCCCATTAGTTCAGATAATGGAGACTCTTCTGTGCATTAGAAGAGAAATGAGTTAAATCCATACATTTTTCCTCTGGAAAAGAGTAATAAAAATGGTATCACAAATGCTGGGTAGTAGGGGCTGTGGGCACATCTGAATACATGCTTATTACTGCAGTGTTGGGCTCAGCAGAGTAAACAGAATAGAATATAAAGAATAAATGAAGTAGGCATTAACTGGTAAAGGTGATTTTTTTTCACTGGAACAAACTATCAAAAGAAACTCTGGTGTTGCCCCTTCGAGATATTTTGAATCGAGGCTTACGTTCAGTCAGTCCATCTTCCAAAGCTTTTCTTTTATTCTAATATTCTTTTAGTCTACTGAAATGGATTACAAAGTCCTTAAAACTGGAATTTCTGCAGAATTTTAAACTTCTGTGACCAACCATTAGTTTTGCAAAAGTTGCATAGTGACTTTGGTTTAAATTCCCTTGTTTCTTCGTTTTCTGTGCTGCAAGTAATGTATTCATTGATGGAGCTGAATCATATTGTCTATGTTCTTAGAAGTTACATTTATTTTAGTGGGTCTTTGAATATAAATTTAATCGCATAAGAATCGTTTAGGACAGAAAGTTTAATACCGCTAAAGTGGAATAAAAGGACTTGCAATTCTATTTCCTACATGCCATTCATTTGAGAATTAGGGTTTTGTTTCTTTTGATAGTCTTTGTTCTGTTTTTATAGCAGTCAGACAATATTTTAATATGTGTGTTACAACGTTTTGTCCCCTTCTAAGGGTTCACACAGCAGCTTGCAGGAGAAATCTAACTATTTATGTAGCAACTGCTGAATTTTCTGCAATTTTCTAAATGGTGCATTCCGATAAACACTGATTTTTGTGTGTCTTAGCATCCTAGACTTGAATTATAGGAGTTAGTTCCTAAACATGCCTGAGCATGAGTGTTGTTTGGGTTAGGGATTTGTGATGAGAAATTGAGAATTAGAGCAGGCAGTGTTGAAGCCATCTACCCATCCCTGGTTAGTCCTATATAGACCTTGAAGTAAAAAACAAAAACAAAAAAACAAAGCCAACCCCTGCCCCAGCAAAACACAAACCCCATGTCTTGAGTTCAGAATTTGTTTGTTTGTACCTTTAGTAGCATTACCTGTTTTGAAACTGCTATGCTTGATTTCTTTCTTAATGCTGCCTCTGTCTCTGAGGAGCTGTAGGGTAGCTTTCTGTACTAGCTGGAGTTTGCAGAGAGCTCATGGGCTTGTGCCCAGGTGTACTCTATGGCTCTCTTCCAAGTGGAAGGAGATAAAGATGTGTGTAATTGAGGCCAGGGACTATTAACTGCCAGGAAGGAATGGAGACTCCTGTCCAGCCAGAAAAGGTAAAATGTTTTACGTGCCAGTGCTACTGGAGGCAAACTTAACATCAGCAAAATCTTGGGGTACTCGTAAACCATAGACTTTCCTTCCAGCTACCAGCAGAATTCCTGCCTACTTCACGTTCAGGTATTCCTTGTCATGGACTGGTCTTCTCAGAGCAGGTCACTTCAAAAATTACGTGTGGGGAAGGATAGGTACAGCTATGCATCTGCTGCATGCTTCTGGCACTTGTATCTTACCTCTTGATGGAGGGACCGAGTGCAATGTTTACTGGCAGTGCTAGAGAATAGCTGACCTCCAATATTTTTAGTTGTGCCAACCAGAGGGCCTCTGTCCAGACAGGAAAAAAGACAGTTTTTGTGAATTGGCTGCTCTTTGGCTGACCTTGCAGCCAAAATGTCAAATTTCATGCGATTTTCCCATGTAATCAGGAGAAATGAGTGTATTAAATTTCATGATCGTAACTCAAAAGGTCACTTGAATATTAGGTAGCAGGCAATGAAGACACAGTGCCCTTTTGGTGACATCTGATGGAGAGTTCAAATATGTTGCTTTTCTTGAACCAGATGGCTCATAATGAATTAAATTGTAATTTGCTAAGATTCTACCTCATTTGAAAAAAAGGAAATTAATAGCCAATCAACATGTTACATTTGTATTTTTTTTCAGTTCAGTTTAATACATATAGCTACCTATGCTTCCTGTGTTTGGGTTTTTTTTTCAGACTTTAATCCTGAGCCTACTGTTTCATATGTGTAATCAGAAGGAAAAAGGTCATGAATTTGGAACCATGATTTAGGTATTCAAAAGAATATATGGGACAATGCAGATACTCTCAAAATTCACAAAAATATTGGATCCATTCTGGTATCTGTCTGATATCTGTCTATGAAAGATCAGTAATTTAAGGATGTGTTCTTAATATGATATTTATGTAATAAAGATAAATAATATAATTAGGAAAATAACTGTATATGAATTTATAATTTTAATATCAATCATGACATAAATAATATAGAAATCAGATACAAATTTTGAAACACCAAGTATAAATTCTGAAATCCTAGATCAAAATGAACTTTCTGTCATGATTTTAAGATGATTGGTAGTCCAAATAAGGAGTTGCATTAACATGACACTGATTAATGTTAAGTTCTTTTAGTAAATAGAAGTGCTGAAAACCACACGTGTATCTACCTGTTCTTTCCTGCTTTTGACTTGAAGAACCAGAAGAAAGTTAATGGTTATGAGCAAATAGAATGAGAATATGGTAAAGTTCAGGAGCAAATGTTTCTTGTGGACAAAAATACTTTTGCATTCCTGTTAGCTAGCTATACAATGCATGGAACTGAAGGTAAAAATTTGTGTGCTACTTAAAAGCTTTTTGACAGAGACTGTGAACTCAAAAGCTTGTCGGATGACCTCCCAGTGTAGGAAATACTGTTGCAACGCTGTATCAATGGGAGACCTAATGGAAGAGGAATGTGGTTTTATTTGAAACGGAGACTGAAGTAAGCAGGTTTTATCACAGTCGCAGTCTGACACACTCACTCGCCAAAAGGTGTGTATCTACAATGGCTGCCCAGCAGCCAGGCACCAGGGCAGGGGTTTTTGAGCCATCCATCTGGCAGCCAGGCACTGTGATGCTTGTGACCAGATGTTAGGCCCAGGATCTGTTGCAATGGTGTGGAGGTTCAGGGCCGCCAGCTATGAAGTCCTTCTAACATCTTCTGTGTTCTTCTTAGGTTGGTAACCATACACAGGTTCTGGTTATGTCTTTCTGTACCCTTTTGGTGCTGCTTCTCTGTCCTGTCCCACCTTTGTGAGTCATCAGATGCCATCAATGTTTTGTCTCCAGATGTCCCTGTCCTGTGAAACTGGCCTAGATGTGTCGGGGTCTTGCTGACCTACTAATATGGGTGTCTTAACACAGGCTGTTCTGAGACCCTTTCCCTGCTGTCTGTTCATGCTGTTTTCTCCACACGCAGATCTTCCCAGTCTTTCTCTGTTCATGCAGATCTTGGCCTTCCTGCTAGTTTTCTACAGTAAAAGATAGGAGGCCACCAAAAAAAAATTTTGCGTGCAAGATTTGTTGCAGCTTATCTTTAAATCAGTAGTTCCTAAACTTTATTTTCTTCCAAGTACCTTTGGAATGAAACTTAACTTTCCCTTTAATGTTTCTAACTTCTTTTTGAAAATGACTTAGGATAGTTTCACTGTACCAACCTAATTTTGGATATCCATCAGACCTTTCCTATCTCAGTTGTGAACCTTCTACCTAAATCATAGTAGATTGCAGTTTTCCAATACCTTAGAATACCATGGGTAACACTACAATACAGCTGGAGCCTCTGAAAACATACTAGAAATTATTTCTAGAAATGCAGTGATAGTATTACTGTATATATTTTACAAAAATGGTAACTGAGAATACCAAGAACGATTAAGAGAAAATACTAAAATACAACTAGACGAGGAATCTAAACTGTCTGTGCTCAGAAAAAGGATTTTATCTTGCATTAACAGAAAAATGGAAACCCAACATGAAGCGGTATGGTAGGCACTGAGAGGTTCAGGATAAAATGCAGTCAAAATAGCTAATGTTTCTTCAAAGCTTGTTAGCAAGCATAGACTTTCAAGTTTTACTCATAGGTTTTGCAGGGCAAGTTTCAGTTTTATATTTTTGTCAATATTGGAAATACCGGAATTCATTGAATGAAGTAAATGAAGCAAGATAAACTTGAATTCTTGTACCAAATGGCTACTATCATCTTAGGAATTAAACAGCTGTTTGAAAATAAAATTCATAGTTGTGGTATAAATTAATGCTGAAGAAAGGGCAATCTAAAGCTGAGAGTAATGTCTATTTCCAGCATATCTGAAATTTAATTATTTTAGGAAAGCCTGTACAGATATGACCCAGAGAAATACAATATATGGCAAGGTTATAAAGCCTCAGATTTTACTGAGTGACACTGAGGATGTTTTTGCATAAGATAAACATATTTACCCTGAAAAACCTTGGATACCTTCCCAAGGACGCCTTCTGCCTATTTAACAACAACAACAAAAGTGAAAGATCGCATGTAGATATTTGTTCCCATAAACTAAAGATTAATAGATCTTTCTGTATGTTTTAAAAACTTTGCATAGCAGAAGATAGAGCGATGTACTAGCCGATTCTCATACCAATTCTGAAGTTAGTCTGTATGCTTTCATCAAGATAGTCTTACATTAGAGGGCTTTTTTGGAAAACAATACTCTTTAACTGGTTAATTAAACAGTCAGTCAGATATGGTAGAATAATAACCAGACAAAAGAAAAAGTTCCATATTTTTAGGAGAGGAGCAATGTATTAGAACATTGGAGTCTAAAAATAAATATTCTAAAATCAGAGCATTGTAAGATATAGTTACACTGGAAGCTACTAAAATACAAAGGCAGGATTCCCTAGAGAATCTTCTGCTTTCTTATTCAACCCTGTTGTCTAGGTTATATTCCTGATGCAAAATATCCTTGGCAGAATATCTGCCAAGGTCAATCTGTTGTTGAGGCTGTGTCTTTTGAGGGGACTGAGGCCAGCATGGAACTCCGTAAATGGGAAGGAGGACAGAGTTTAGGCATAGGAAAAGGCAACTCTGCTACAAGGGTAAATTCTCTACTTGTTGTCCCAGGATGTTTCTGTCTTCCTGATGTCCTTTTCTGTCAGCCAGCCGATTTCTTCAACATACAATGCTGTCTTCTTTTCTCTGCTTATTATTTTGTGAATAATATATTGGTTATAAATGTTCATGTTGTTTGCAACAGGATTGCTGGAATAACATCAAAACTGAACAAGCAGTTCAATATCAGTTAATAATGCTACAGAGCTTAATGCAGTAATGCCATAAGCTTCAGGGAATATATCTCATGATATAGCATTTCCAAGTTACTAATACCAATATTCTATCCCAGAAAAAAATTGCTTCAATAGAAATGACAACTGCAGCGTGAAAAACTTAAATTAATGCAGGTGTAATCTTTATATTTTGTGTTCTACCAGCTGTGCAATAGCGTTCATAGCCATGTTTAGTGTACAGTATCCACCCTCCAGATTAAAAGCCATAAAGGAAATTACCTTTAATGATATGATAGTAGTACTAGCCTGCTCAAACAGCATGAATAGCCATGGTTCTGACTTTCTACCTACTGTGGTACTGTATGAATACTGGATGTATAAACAGGAGAAGCACATAGGAGCAAATTACTTCCTCCGTCTGTGTTTGATGCTGGTGGAAGATACTACATTACTTACCATAACTCTGGTGTTTGCTTTCTTTTAAAAGGATACTGAAAAATGTAGATACAGCTCAGAAACTGTGAAATGAAAATATCTCCCCAAGCAGTTACTGCAGTGAGTCATTCACATGCTATAAATTCGCATCCTAGTTTAACTTGTGCTAACTGGTTCATATTACTGTTACCTACGAACAGATGGTGAAAGGCACACTTGACCACAGCTTTAAATGGAGCACCTAGAGAAGTAAGAGTCTATTACATCTAAGACAAAATTTGGTTAAATAAGGCCAGGCATTCTTTAGTTAAGAGTGTGACTAATATAGATATTAGGGTGTGGGGGAGGGGAAATAACCTTCCATATACAGTTTGGGAAAAACATTTTTGTGGCAATTTTTATACACTGAATTACTAACACTGAAGGTTAATTATTCTACTTCCTCTGTATTAAATGCAAAGCTGCATTAACTGAACATATTTAATCTTTCATCCATTCCTCCTTCTTAATTTTGTACTTAATTCAAAATGTGTGGCATCCAGAATGGTTTTACAAGTGGAATAGAACAGTATTCATTTTCATTGGTTGTTCCTGAAAATTTTAAATTTACAGGTACATATTATTTAATTATGTATTTTATATATTAAAATAACAGTAGTTTTTGAGGGTTTCACTAAGTTTTGTATTACCTGATTTTTTTATTCTTAATTTCAGGTGGTTTAGGGACATTGGTTGGAATTTTGGGTCTTAAATGAAGCCCCTTTACAAAAAGAAAACAAGTTATTTGAAGTTTCTAAAAGGATGTGTTTAGGTTCACTGTCAAATAATAAAATATTGTGTCACGATGTAGCCAAGGTTCTTTCTAATTATGTTTTCCCACTCATGTTGCCCTTTATAAGGAATAAACTTCTTTTACTGAGTTTTTTAGAACTGGGATTTACTTAACTCAGAAGATTTATGGGTAAGTTTTGAGGCCACACCATCCCTACGTAGCCAATAGCTAGAAAAAGAGGGATGATTTTTTTTTCCCCACAGGAAGGTTCAGAGTATCTGAATCCTTCTGACCTCAATTACAAATCAAAGGTGGGTTTCTTGAGGGGTAGCCGATGCCTCTAGAGTTTTTTGAGAAACCCAGCCAAATGCTTTCAGCACTTGTTCAGTTATACACTGCAAGAGCTGTGCCAGGTTACACTGCAAAATTTGATTTTTAAAGTTGATTATTGTAAAACCCTGCTTTGGTAGGGCCAGTTCTGTACTCTGTAAACTTATGAATGTTCTCAGTAAATACCAGTGAATTCAAGAAACACTGATAGAGGCAAAAGCCCTGGCCACTAAGCTGGAAAAGAGCATTCAAATTGAAGTTGATAGCAATTAGTTTAAGGTTATGAGCTTATTCTGTATTAGGATGACAAAAAGCCTTAAAATAAAACATGCAGAATCCTAATGAGCTGTAGAAGGAAGTTAACATTTCCTTTTGAAATTTCTCCTAGTGAAGGAAGACCTTCCCCCAGAGTGGAACTGCTGCATAACATAGATCCCATGTTTGTGGATGACTTTCCATGTGAGTACGTTACTGGTTGTTCAAGACTTATTAAAAATACAGCTTGTCTTCTGAACACTCCTTGTTTTCATTAAGTGAAGTATTTCCTTCTAGGTGAACCAAAATAGAGTAGGATGCCTTCTGCTTTTAAGTAAATAGCTTTAAAACACAGAAACATCATCCCCCAGATGCTGCAAGTACTTACTGAATCATGACCAATGTGCGCTTCCTATTTCAGAGAGCTCTGCAGCACTGCTGAGTAATGAACAAAGTACTCTGGGAGAAGGAAATGTTGAGCAGCAGCCATGTGCCTGAGGTGCACAGGGAGGCACGCTGCCAAAAAACCCTACCAAACTCTGTCTTCAGTGCTCCACAGTAGCTCCCAATGAACTGCTTGCCCTAATGCATCTTGATAGATCTATATAATGTGACCATGCAAATGGAAATCTTGAGTTTGTGAGAAGCTGAGAAGTTCCAAGCCTTGTGATTGCTTTTGTTCCATAATCACATGGGTTGGATCGTTAATGCCATAATCGCGTGAATTGGAGCTTAACTTGGCCAATTCTACAGCGCTTAAAGCACTGTCTGTTTTATGATTCAGCATTATTAGTTTGCTAAGGACTACAAACTTTCCAAGCAGAGATTTTTTTTCATACAGAACATTAGCACATGTCCTTTCCTGTGTTTTTATAGCATTTCTGTATTGCATTAAATAAGGAAGTAAATCCAGGTAGAGGAAGAGTAGTGCAGTGGGGGCAGTGGTCTGTTGCCTGTGAGACAGATAGGCATTGCGCTGGATGGAAAGAGGTGAAGTGGCCTTATGCAGTGCACATCTGGTCCTGTGATGCATTTCTCAGAAAGAGCAACATTATGCCTATGTAGTGCTGGCTGGGCAGCACTGCCTGCAGATAATTTCTACACACTGATGGAATTAAGGTGTAGCTACTCCAATTTCTCTTCAAAGCATGCTCTGTGAGTCGTAGCATTCCTGTACAATGTTATGCCCTGATGTGGTATTCTCAGGCCTACTTCAGAGACCATCTTTTCCTTGTGGGAACTGCTATGATTGAACTCAGCAGAGGTGATTGAGTACAATTTCCTGGTGTAAATAGAAGGTGGATAAGCAGAGGAGGTTTTAGGGAACTTAAGCTCAGGACATACTTCCCCAGATTGCTTCCATGATGCCATACTCTGACGATACTTCGCTGTTTGTTAAATACAGCATGTGCTTTCTGTGTGCATTGCATGAGATACTGGCAGGGAGAGGGACAGGTGGGCAAAAGCTGTAGTAGGTGAAGCTTTTATGCGGGATGAGATGTGACTTTTAAGCATCATGAACAGGGGAAGGGGTCTGTGTGTCTGGAAATTTACAGTGTTTTAATGTACCTTTCAAAACTGGAGTCATTAAAAACAAAACCTAACTCTTCTCCCACATGTCCTTATGCACCATATAGGGTTTCCCTGTCTCTTTTGAGCAAAGGCATATAATTTTGGCAAATTACTTTGTGCCACTTTTTTTACTTTCACCATTAATAGCACTTTTGGTGAGGAACAGGTAGAGTTGACCTTCAAGTTTAGTATACCTTACTTTTTACCTAGTTTTGATTTTATGATACCATTCTTAAAGGATTTGAGAGTAATTGTATTTCTGATAGTTTTGACAAGATGTATCACTGTTGTACATGACAAAATATGCAGATAACTGGTCTTTTAATTAACGTAGTTTTTGATGCATCAGAGCATGTAATTTGTAGACCACTGTTGGGAAAAATCAGGTTTCTTTGTACTTCATCTATGTTCATAATGTGCTCAATTTCCTATGAGTTCACTAGAAGTTGGAAGGGTTTTGTGCTTTGTGGAGGATGGGTCGTTTTATTGTTTATTATTTTGGTTTTGACCCAGCTAGTGAAATTATGCTTTGTCATATAAGGATTAAAATTTCTATTTAGCAGTATGACTTATTTTTATATATATATATATGTATATATATGTATACACAGTTACTTCTAAATGTATGTAGCAGCTGATTTCTACTTAGTGTCTGTTTTTCATTTGTGAAATAAGTAATAAGTTTAGAATGAGTAATAAGTTTAGAATTGAGATGCAGACAAATGATGTTGGTGTCTCTATTATAGGTAGATGAGGAAGACATAAAGCTTGGAATATATAAGTATTTTCATATTTTCAGCAATCATGGCTTTCTTCGTGGTTTTTTAAAAAAAAAAAAATCTTAAAATAAACTGCCCATACAATCTTCCTGTCACCAAGATGATAAACTATTTGTCATTCTGGAGTCTTGCTCTTTCCTTGGCATTTTATTGTTTCCCTGTCCTAACTGTTTTGAGATCAGGGTACTCTTTTACCTACTGTGCTAAAATATGTGTGTATATGTGTCCCTGGGCTCTTTCTCACATCCTGTGTAGTCTTTGGCCTTCTTTATGATGATCTTGCCCTTGTTCTTAAGAACTTAAAGAAATCACATCACCTAAATCGTCTTGTGTCAGATGAAGTATTCATATTATACTAATACTTTTTTTGTAGAAATTCAATGAGTAAGTAAAGTAATGACTGGAGGACGCAGAGTAGCCAGATCTTTGGGTTTGCAGAGTACTGTGGAAGAGCAAAAAAGGAAATTAAATCTCAAGGTACTGTTAAACATAACCTAAAACCTTTCAGGATGTTGTGGATAAATGGGCAAGTTCTGATCGTAGTATTATTAAGGAAGACATGATGCTGTTGTAGTTGTGCACATATAGGGCATTAAGCTACTGTTGTACTTGCACTCAGTGCAGGTTCACTGCTCCTGAACTCTTGAGTGCTTTTGCATGTAATGTATAAATGCTTTCAGCATAATATTTTTATTTAATGGGTGCATTTATCTTCATTTCTGAATAAAGTGATACTATATATTTTTAGTAGCATGAATGATGGGAAGTCTCATGTAATTCATTGGGGGGGTTTTGACTGAAATAGGAAAACTGAGCTTTGTTCTGTTCAGATTTTTTACACTAAAATAAGTATTCCTTCAGGGAAGAATTTGTGCAAAAGACATTAATTAATTTAGTGTCAACTCAACAGTTACAGCCAAGTATTCAACGGAACATTAATTTAAAGGTAGGACATGCTATCTTGGCTACAGAGCTAACTACAACTTCGCTGCTGTGGTCTGTTAGAACTGACCTTGACCTGCGTGTGTACCGTTTGTGGGGAAACATCATACAACTTTTCAAGTTCTCAGACTGAGCACTGGTTTCTAACCTCTGGGCATCAGCCAGAGTTATACCATCAGGTCTGATGAATCTACTGATCAGCATCTGCTTACCTTTTTTCAGGAGCTCATGCCCAGTAGTAAATATATAGCCTTACAGTAGTCTTGTATCGAAGTACTGTACTTCTCTCCTATTGTTAACACTAAACAGTATAAGACAGGAAACACTGTAAACTAGTTCCATTTTACAAAAAATTGCTGACAGGTCTTATTACACTGACTCTTTCAAGTAATTATCTTCTCTCTTCGAGGGCAGGTGTCTTCACTGAAATGTAGACCTTTCCAGTGATCTGAAACATACTGCAGTGTTTTTGACTGTAATTCCTCCTTTCTTCAGTGCTAACAAAGGGGTTCCTGTCCCTGACCGCAGACTTTGCTGTCAGGCTCCCTCTGGCCTGTGGCAGCCCAGTGGGGTGGTTGGGGTTAAAAACAATCTTCTCTCTCAATGAATTCATCTGGTTTGCAATGCAGACCTACAACAATTGTGGTGATGTAACGGGAATCACATGGTGACAAGATGAGTATTCAGCCAGATCAGACTTCAGACTATTCTGGGTGGTGGGGGGAAAGAGGAGGAAAGGTTTCTACCACATCAGCCAGCTGAATCCACTTGCCCTATAGCTGTATGACTGGGAGTAGAGGAGAATATGTGGTTGGTGGCAGATGGAGGGACTGGCCGCAGAACCCAGCAGCTAAGATCAGCTCAGGCCGCCAGAGAACCTCAGCCCGAGGCAGTAGTTTCGTGGCGTTTAAGCTAGCATAGGTCACTGCTTCTACCAAAGAGGAAATCCTGCCTCCCACAGCACCTCACCACTGCTCCCCTCTCTCACAGGTCGCCAAAAGCACTCAGAGAGAGCTGTGAACAAGTTCAGGATATTGGTTCAGATTTTAATAACCCTTTTTTTTTTTTTTTTTTCCCCCTTTGAATGTATGTTGAATAGCCAAGCACTCATTTTGACACAAAGAATGAGACTGGAAGGAATTCGGGGGGACAAGTGAGACTGATTCTGTAGTCTCTGAAATTGAACCCTGAGGTTTCCTTTTTGTAATAAGTGATGAGATGTCCAGCAGGTTTCTGCTGGGGATGTGCTTCGCTTCCTCCCCTCCCCATTCCCAGCCACATGCTCCTGATGCTTATTTTCTATCCATTCTGGCACTCCTTGGGTACCTCCATGGACCTATCCAACTTGCTAGCCTGGTTTTCCTCTGTTAGGTAGGTTGAATCTGCTCATTGAAGGGGCTGATGGATGCCAGAGGCAGTGCAAGGTGGGGGTGAGGAGGGCTGTGCAGCTGGAAGTGGGGAGGCAGAGGGAGAGCCAACCCTCCTAGCAGTGTCGGGCTGCTCCTGGAGCCAGAGCCCCAGGGGGAAAGGGTGGGGAGCCACACCTTCTGGTTGGACCTCACTGTGCTAAACCAGTCTGGTGAGCTCTGCAGATGGAGCTGGACCCAGGCTCCTCAGAGGTGGTTGCTGCTCTCCCTCCTTGCTAAAAGCCATCACTTTTGTCTTTCGAGTTGTTTGTTCATCACACTGTTGGTTATTTACAAAACTGATGAATATATGTCTCGATTTCTGGGTCTCAGTGTAGATTTGTAATTTATTAAGAGAGTTGGCAATTATGTAAAAGCAGGCCATTGATATGAAAGGTCTACTGTCTTCCAGGTTTGGGTCTGAAACATTTTCTGTTAGTTTTAAGAGTTTGATAATAAAATAGGAAAAAAAACAGAAAGCTACAATTATATTGAAACTGAGTAT